CTTTAAGATGTTTCAAGCGTTGCACAGTAGTAGACCTAATAAATATTGAGGAAACATTATCAAGGAATAACCCGGAGACAAAGCGAAGGCTATAACATTACCAGTATGAGGTAATCATAACATAGAGGGAGGGGGGGAAAATTGCTGGTATGTACAGTATCTGTATCTTATGCATTGTGTCTGAATGTGTGATGTTCGACATGCATCTTCCGTTCGCTGTATATGCGGGTAAGCATACCTGTTTGCCTGTATAAAATTTCACGCTACTGCAGGCAAACAAATTTTGGTTGGGATGTGAACTACTACCCACCGAGTCCTTTCCCGCCGGAAAAAGACAAACCATCGAGGATTTCTGGTGGATTTATACCCCTCTGGTAATCAAACATGGCTAGCTGAAACATCCCCGCATTCGTAGATGATGTTCTCATTTCAATGCCCATTTATTGGGGATTTCAAAGCTAGCCTATGTTTGATTCGCGGTGGATACTGGATTCACTGGATCTGTTCAATCTGGGTCCTACAAAAAAGGTAGCTTCAAGAGTCTCACCCCGCATGGTTACAGATGATAGCCACATTTATCCCAATATTTATTTGAAGATATTTATTGGGATATTTACTTTGTACATCTGTACATATACATTTGTGGCCATAAACCAATAATATACAAATATATGGTCCACAAACATGTACATTTGAAGACTTGGCACTGACATTTGCTGTACATGTTTGTTGATTTATTTACATTCCCCAAATTCCCATCGCCGTGATAGGAATGATGAATTTATCTGGCTGAATTATCAGGTTTAACCAGTGACGCCATAGCGAAGTCATGAAAAATTCATCCAGATTGGTAGAAGATGTTTCCAATAATTCTCCCATATTCTCCCATAAAAAAACATCATTTTCTATGGCTACCCTGGCTACCCTCTGGTAAACTAACATAGCTATTGAAAATAACCATAGAAATAACGGATTTTCCCCTTAAAAATTGTGATGTTCCATGGTTATGTTAGTTTACCAGAAGGTAAACCATCATTTTCTATGGCTAACATTGTTAACATCCCGTTTTCCATTGTTAAACCCGGTAAGATCCCTGAGGCTCATCGCCGCAGAACTGGGGCCACCGTGCTGACTCGAATGGATCCTCAGGATAGCCTCAGCTTCAGGAAACATAACTGGATAGTATACCTCCATTAAATACCTTTATTTGAACTAACATAGATGTTGACAAACAGCATTTTCTGTAGGTAAATCAACTATAAATGGGTTGTTGTCCGCGTCTATGTTAGCTTAACCTAGGGTGTATATATATATATATATGTGTGTGTGTTTGCTTTAACTTTAATGGTATATTAATAGTTCCATAGGTCAGCATAGCCATTTGACCATAGGCATTCATCCCATTGCTATTTCCATTGGTTCAACCAGCCACCTGAACATCTGTCGGGATCATCACCGAGGTTGATATATCTACCAAAACCCATAGTGAAATACTATAGTCACTAGTCAAAGACCAACTTAGCTATTCTAATTAATTCATCCAAAAATTCCAATGTTTGCCCATGATTTCCCCATTTTCGCGCCAACGACCATTGTTAAGTTACCCGGTAGCCAGTGAAAAAAATCGTTCAAAAATCCTCATCTAAGTGATATTTTTCGGTACAGGAGTTATTTCAAAACATGTATAACTATCATACCAAACATCAAGAAAAATCCCATGACATCACCATTTTTCTCATTGTTCTCCTATGATTTTCCGAACGGTTTTCCCCTGGATTTTCCTATGACCGTGGATCAGCTGCAGATCAGCCACGTTGGCCAATAACGAGGCAACAGAGACGACCTGGGGAAAATGGTGGATTTAGTGGGACTGAATGGGACTTGACTGGAGTTTCATGGGATTTTCATGGGACTTTCATGGGATTTAATAAGATTTATATAATAGAAGCTCAATATCTCAATGAGACTTAGTGGGATTTAACGGGAGAAGCTTGCTTAGCAATCCCATCCCATATTAAGGACCCCGGGAAACCATGGTGGATGTAGGGGATGAAATCACATATTTGGGACTATTTAGCGTTGTTTAACATTTCTAGGGATTGGAATCGACTACTTATTATCGTATTTTGTATGCATCAACATCTGTTGTTTGGCAAACCAAGGTTTACAATGAATGGTGCTAATCTTTGACCAACAATCTCTGGGATTTGTCAACAAAATGATGGATTTTCCACCAGTAGCGGGGACAAGCATCATGGGGTGAATCCAAAAATGGGATACCCATAAAGTGGCATTGTGTTTATATAAGGTGGTGCCCGCAGTTACAAGTTGGTTTATAAACTATAGTACGTATACATAGATACCCGCCATAAACCATAGTTATTGGGGCTATGTTCACCAACTTGGCTAACTATGGGGCACCACCTTGTAGGTGTTTTTTCTTGAAATCTATGATGAACTTGAGAGGGGGAACAGGTGATCAAGAAGGGGAAGCAAAGCCTCCCTGTGTAAAAGCTGGCTGTGTGTAAAAGCGTGCTGTATGCAACAGTTTTTCTGTGTAAATGCATCTCTGGGCAAAAAGGTCTGTGTAAAAACTGCTGTGCATAAAGACTTCTGTGCGTAAAGGCTTCTGTGCGGACAAGTTTCCATGTGTAAAAGCTGCTCTGGGTAAAGTTTCTGCACGCAAAAGTTTCGGTGTGGAAAAACTTGTGTGTGCAGTCTGTGTGGACATTTTTTCTGTGTCAAAGTTTTCCTGTGTAAAAGTCTCTTTGTGTAAAAGCTGTTCTGTGCAATGGTTTCTCTGTGTAAAAGGTTCTGTGTGTAAAAGCGCCTGTGTGCCTTTATTCATGCGTGTGCATGCACCTTTGTGCAAAGCATGGGTGTACAAAACCTTCCGTGTGTAAAACTTCTTTGCGTAAAAACCTCTGTGTAAAGGCGTCTGATTGTAAAAGTTTATCTGTGCACAAACCGCTCTGTGTAAGAGTATCTGCGCATAAAAACTGCTCCGTGTAAAGGTTTCTGTGCGTAACGTCGTCTGTTTGTAGAAGCGTACCGGTGCAAAATGCGTCACCACAGCAAAATCGCAAAAAACAATGAAACAAAAGAGTCCAAACTCAAATGCTTGCTGTCGTTACGTTGTGGATGATGTCGGAATTGTGCGCAGGGCCCCACAAGGGGTCATGTTGGCTGTGTTAAGCCAATTCTTAAAAAGCCTTGGGGACAAAACACACCGCAAATTTCGATGTTTTTGGCGCCTCACAGGCCAAAAACCACGGTACTCTTCTTGTTGTTGTTGTTGTTGCTGTTACCCCTGCAGCTTTTTTCTCAGCCTCGTAGTGGCCGAAAATCGTCAAATAAGTGGTGGACTCTCGGAGCAAAAAACACCCTAAATACCAATGTTTTTTGCGCCTCGAAAGCCCCAAAAAAACACCGTATTTCAGATGGTTTTTGCTTCTGGTAGCAACAACCACGGTATTTACAGTGTTTTTTGGACAGCACCGAGCAAAACCACTGATATTTGCGCAGTTTTCGGCATGTTGCAAGAAGTGATTTTTTTCCATGCGAAAGTCACAAAACCCGTGTAAATTACAGTGTGTTGGGTCTGATTTTAGGGTTTGTGACGGGGTTATCTAAAATGAACAGCAACCTCCTAATCAGGTAACTAGGCTGGCCAACCTCCCCTTACTTCGTAAAGCAAAACTCAAGGTAGCACCACTGGAGCTACCTTTCGTGACCAGTGACTGGGTGCCGTTTTCTCATCACCAGGGACTTGGTTCTGTTTGTGGCACCATAACAAGCGAAACAAGACACCCAGTCGTACCTCAGAGGTGGACCAGTTGGTGCTAACCATTGCCCATCCAAGCACAGCTATGGCCCGAAAAAAAACAGTGACCATGGGATAAAATAACTCGTCTAACTGAGGCTGGTTCATGTTGATTCAAGTTGCTGAAAATGTTGGTTCTATATCATGAAATAAGCCAGTTATTAATAAATATTAATAATGCAACACCTGCAAAACTGCAGGATCCAGATCCAGCAAAACCCAGCAACACCGGCGCGACAAAACCGACCCCTCGGTTGCGCACAGAAAGTTTGGGACATTTATCCAACTTGTCGTCCAAGGGAATGGTATCAGTCACCTCATTAGCTCGGACAAAATGCCAGAAAAATCCCTGGGAAAATAATCGATACAAAAAGGAGACATGTCATTTTCTGTAAAGCAATAGTAGATCCATCTCCAGACTTACCAAACATGGATCAAGCGTAAAGTTATTTATTAGTGGATTGGTATTGATTTACGCACATTTTGTATTTTGGGGTTTTCATGAAAAACGTGCAGAAAAACTTGGCGAAATGAGCTTCGGCTAGGAGAATGATCTCAGTGATTTAAGGAGGAGAAAAGAAACCACTGAGGAAATTCGACATGACACCGGGTCACATGGAATGTTTTGAACATTTTAAAGGCAATGTTCTTCCCCCTGTGTTTGCTCCTTTCTACATATGAATTAATTACAAATCATGATAACATTCCATGTGACCTCACAAAAACATGACAACTGGAGGCGTCAGACACAAAGTACCTAAGCAACCTATAGCAAGAAGGAAGGCGTGACCACAAACAAACTTTGTCTTGACACTCTTGACCTCCAGTGGAGCAAAATGTGCTTGTGAAGGTTTGAGCAGTGCCAAGGTATTTTGTTTCGTTGGACAAGGCTGCTCAAGACATTCTGTCTCAAGCGCACTACAACAGCGCAACGAGACAGCGAATTCCAACCCAAGATGTCAGCTCCAGATGTGTCGACGTGTGAGGACACCTTTGACCACCTACACCTATAGCAAAGATGCAGTGGTTCAGTGGCACCAGTCCACTTTGCCGCTGAAGTAGGATGCTTCTGGATACAAAAAAATGCCAGAGCAAGGGAGTTCAGCAGCTGCAAAGTCAATGATCTGGGCTCTGTGCGCACATTGTCACAGACCTTATCTCTGCTTTCTCAAACTAAGCGCTCAGCAGAACAGTGTACGAAGCAAAGTCAAAGTAAAGAGGCAGCAAACTTTGCTTTGAAAACCCTTGGTTGGACCAATTTGACCTCCAGCATTCATGGAAAATGCTGGAGTTTCAGCAAGACCTCAATCATGTGCCGATAATCACGTCTGTCACCAGGCACCAATGCCAGCTGCACCAGTAAGAAGTCATCGGCCCTTGTCCAATATCATTCCCAGAAACATCCAGAATCACACAGGAACCAGCTTGACTCACAAACATACCTCATCTCTTGCATTTGTAATATGAACGGAGTCAGATCCATAACGCACTTTGTCTTGACACTCTTGACCTCCTGTGGAGCAAAATGTGCTTGTGAAGGTTTGAGCAGTGCCAAGGTATTTTGTTTCGTTGCCACAAGGCTGCTCAAGACATTCTGTCTCAAGCGCGCTACAACAGCGCAACGAGACACCGAATTCCAACCCAAGATGTCAGCTCCAAATGAGTCGACGTGTGAGGACACCTTTGACCACCTACACCTATAGCAAAGATGCAGTGGTTCAGTGGCACCAGTCCACTTTGCCGCTGAAGTAGGATGCTTCTGGATACAAAAAAATGCCAGAGCAAGGGAGTTCAGCAGCTGCAAAGTCAATGATCTGGGCTCTGTGCGCACATTGTCACAGACCTTATCTCTGCTTTCTCAAACTAAGCGCTCAGCAGAACAGTGTACGAAGCAAAGTCAAAGTAAAGAGGCAGCAAACTTTGCTTTGAAAACCCTTGGTTGGACCAATTTGACCTCCAGCATTCATGGAAAATGCTGGAGTTTCAGCAAGACCTCAATCATGTGCCGATAATCACGTCTGTCACCAGGCACCAATGCCAGCTGCACCAGTAAGAAGTCATCGGCCCTTGTCCAATATCATTCCCAGAAACATCCAGAATCACACAGGAACCAGCTTGACTCACAAACATACCTCATCTCTTGCATTTGTAATATGAACGGAGTCAGATCCATAACACACTTTGTATTGACACTCTTGACCTCCAGTGGAGCAAAATGTGCTTGTGAAGGTTTGAGCAGTGCCAAGGTATTTTGTTTCGTTGACACAAGGCTGCTCAAGACATTCTGTCTCAAGCGCACTACAACAGCGCAACGAGACAGCGAATTCCAACCCAAGATGTCAGCTCCAAATGTGTCGACGTGTGAGGACACCTTTGACCACCTACACCTATAGCAAAGATGCAGTGGTTCAGTGGCACCAGTCCACTTTGCCGCTGAAGTAGGATGCTTCTGGATACAAAAAATGCCAGAGCAAGGGAGTTCAGCAGCTGCAAAGTCAATGATCTGGGTCTGTGCGCACATTGTCACAGACCTTATCTCTGCTTTCTCAAACTAAGCGCTCAGCAGAACAGTGTACGAAGCAAAGTCAAAGTAAAGAGGCAGCAAACTTTGCTTTGAAAACCCTTGGTTGGACCAATTTGACCTCCAGCATTCATGGAAAATGCTGGAGTTTCAGCAAGACCTCAATCATGTGCCGATAATCACGTCTGTCACCAGGCACCAATGCCAGCTGCACCAGTAAGAAGTCATCGGCCCTTGTCCAATATCATTCCCAGAAACATCCAGAATCACACAGGAACCAGCTTGACTCACAAACATACCTCATCTCTTGCATTTGTAATATGAACGGAGTCAGATCCATAACACACTTTGTCTTGACACTCTTGACCTCCGGTGGAGCAAAATGTGCTTCTGAAGGTTTGAGCAGTGCCAAGGTATTTTGTTTCGTTGGCACAAGGCTGCTCAAGACATTCTGTCTCAAACGCACTACAACAGCGCAACGAGACACCGAATTCCAACCCAAGATGTCAGCTTCAACTGAGTCGACATGTGAGGACACCTTTGACCACCTACACCTATAGCAAAGATGCAGTGGTTCAGTGGCACCAGAACACTTTGCCGCTGAAGTAGGATGCTGCTGGATATCAAAAATGCCACAGCAAGGGAGTTCAGCAGTTGCAAAAGTCAGATCTTGATCTGAAAATGTGTGTGATCGTAACAGTTTGTCTTGAATGCAACACAAAATGTGGCAACCCCCATGAGCAAATAGCGTGGTGATCCTAGCCAATTATATACGAGTCCTGCTGTGATTCTCCTAGGCATAAGTTGGTCTTTTACCCAACTCATTGTAGTAAATTTCATCACTATACACATATCACATATGTTGAACATAAACCCAACAATTAACATAGCTCATCACCATAAACATATGTAGCAATATCATCAATCCGACAATTTTAACAAGGCTAGTTCCAGCCACTGAGAATCAACCCCAGTAGCTCTACCTGAGGTGGTGAGACAGGGGCCATTCGCTTAAAATATCTGGATGATGGTTGCAAAACCAATCGCCCATCACATACCCAAAAAAACATGGGGCATTGCAAAATGTAGACCATTACCCATGATTTTCATATACCAAGTATCATGTCAGTATCATCCATGAAAGACCCAGTATCATGTCAGTATCATGTTACTAGGTTACTAGAAAAATCACCCGTTCACTACTTGAACTTTTGAAGTGATTGAACCAAAAAGTCCATGACAAATAGGACAAATATGGAACAACATGGGTAATCAATATTTTTTGGGCATTTTGTTGATAAAGATGACAATATACAAACATCGCGCAGCGTGGTTTTTATACGGCCCCGTGACAAAGACGGTCTCCAGCTGGGACTTCATGATGCTTTCGCAGGCCGGATCCTAGGAAAAAACGAAGATTTTGTTTCCCGGAAGGGAAACCATAGTATACCATTAGAAATGGTGATTTTCCCATTAAAAGTGGTGATTTCCCATTAACAATTGTGATTTTCCCATTAAAAGTGGTGATTTTCCACAGTTATGTTGATGGACATGATATATATATATACTGGTTGGTGGTATACCTACCCATCTGAAAAGATGAAAGTCAGTTGGGAAACATAAAGTTGACATAACTCAAAGATTTTAGGAGTCAAACAAAATGAGACGATTGGTTTTGAGGTGAGGTTTAAGCAACAAATTGGTGAATGGGGATATTATCCACAATAAATGGGTGGATGACATGTTGATAGCAATTAGGAATCCTGATGGTTTTCAGTAGGCAAACCATCTACATGTGTGCGTTGTCCATTTCTGCACTAGCTTCACTGATATAGCCTGTGTATGACTGTGTGCTGATTCCGACCATTGTGGAGTCGAGAAAATACATGAAAATACACGACACTACTATCACATGACTACGCCCAGAAAGGTATGTCCGCAACAACTACGTACAGTAAAACATACCCCATAGGATCCATGTATGGTATATATGCTAACATTGGAGGTATATCGATGGCAAATGTTACCATATATAGCATACATGGGCCCTATGGGTACTAAAACTACATCATGTAGGTTGTGGGAGTGGATACCCTCCATGGCCAAACCTCAACGTAGATTCACCTTTCATGTGGCACTGCAAAATCCACCACTTAAGCCTCCATTTAGCTCGAAAAAAACACAGATTTCCATGTTTCATTGCCAGTAGGTATATGCAATTGTTCAAACACCAGGAATCCGTGTTAGTTAGATCAAACTGGAGGTTTCCTGAAATGAGGTACCCCCAAATCATCCATTTTAACAAGATTTTTCATTATAAACCATCCAGCTATTGGGTGGCCCCATTTATGGAGACCTTTAAATGAAACCCATTACATGCCTCGTCTGTGTGATGCTGGACTCATATATATAATATGATAGCTAAGTTGGTTTATAACTCCAATAACTATGGTTTATGGTATTTATAACTATAGTTACTGGGGCTTATAAACCAACTTATATCTTGGGGGCCTCACATTGTATATATATGAGGGCCTGCCGGGCTTGTTGAGCCGCAAAGTCTGGGGATACAAAGGATGGAGTCAAAGGACCAAACGTCATCCATGTTCAGCGGAAAAAAAGAACTACAACTACAAAACACCCGACGGTGAAACGCATGACTCACATGCAAACTTTACAGGTGCTTGAACAAATAGCCAAAAGTCACACACACAGACACACCTTCTGGGAGATTCTGGGAGCACCATCATGAAAGAAAAAACAAAACAAAATTCAATCCTAGACCAAAATTGCCATCGAAGAAGCCGCTAGAACTTTTGATACTCCACAAATTACTTGTTGAATTTCGGTGGATGACTGGATCTTCCTTCAGCCCCATGCTGGGTTGTCCAAACAGGGGAGCTTGAAAACCATCCAACAAAATTGTTTAATCAATTTTAATCAAATTGAATGAAGCTTTGTCAAGCAAAATCTAATGAGATTTTATCAAGTTTCAACAGATCTCGTCAAATTTCCTTCCAATTTCATCAAGTTTCAGCAAACTTCATCAATTTCCATCAACATTTCATCAACATGTTCTGCCGCGTTTTTTCGCTCTGGTCACGTCGCATTCTCCGAGGCCGGGGACCACACCGAGAGGATTCCGTGCACCACTGCACCAATCACCGCAGAGGCCCCTCGCGCCTCCGGATGAGAACTGGGGGTACCCCCATGGATTTCAGGAAACCTCCTTTTGTTGGCTGAAAAAAATCTCCGAACATTTAGTCTAAGATGTTCCATATGAAGATCTTGAGATTTAGTGAGATTTGCCAGCCATGTTTTCAGTGAGGGTAAATCCCATGGAACGATGTGGCAATCCCGCCATTTTTTCCATCATGTCCCAGCAATGACAAAAGGTGGTCGGGGTATACCCAATCCACCAAAACTTCCTGGTGAACGTCTCATTTTCTGTGGTGAAACCAAGTAATCTGGCCATGCTCCCATGATTTTACCATGTTTTCCTGCATGATTTACCACTAAAATAGCCATGATCTTAGCCATGGAACTATCTAAAATAGCCATTCTCTTAGCTATGGAGCTGCCAAAATTACCATATAGACATGAAACAACTGTCTGACCAGAATAAGTTGTTTTTCTTAAGCCAAACCTTTCAGCATCCGCCCCCTTCGCCCTGGGCCCCTAAACCGGTTGCGCCTTCAATTTGTCGGCGGCTTGGCACAGCGTCTCTGCGGTATCTGCGATGTCATCCACGACGATGCAGGTCTTGCCTTCCGATCCCGGCTGGCTTGGCAGCAAATGACAAGGGAATTTTCGTTCAAACCCTGGTAAATACGTACCCTATACTGGTTGGTGGTTTCAACCCCTTTGAAAACAATCAATATACTGTTAATCTGGTTGGTGGTTGACCTACCCCTCTGAAAAATATGAAAGCCAGGTGGGATTATTATTCCCAATATATGGAGAAAAAACAACATGTTCCAAACCATCAACCAGTATACGTACCCCAAGTCATAGCTGGTTACACAACCTTGGTATTGCTGTTGTTGGAGCTTGGCCATAAACTGTCTGGGACACGCACGCCATGTCCCATCCCAGAAAAGATAGGGGCCAAAGCCAACTGCTTGCAGACTGGAGTCCGTCCCCAATATGTCCAATTTACAAGCACCAAACAGCCAAATTTCTTGGCCAGTCCAGATCGCCCACTTCCAAGAATAGTGAGAGGCATTGGGTGAGTGTCAACGCCAACATGAGGGAACGCGGCAACCCCCTGACATGAGGCACCGCAGCCTCCCGCACCTCTGTCTCGTAGGGCCAGGAATTCTTGCTCCTCGATCGGGTACACTTCGCCCGAGGTCTTCTGGAGCAAATAGTCGCCCTCCCTGCAAGAAACGTCTCCGCAGTTCATGACATGCACGTGGCCCCCGACTGCAACAAAGTCCCCCCAGCTGTCCCGGCTTTACGTGGAAGGTGACATCTTCTCCGTCGAAGCGAACATCTACTCCGACAAAGAGGTCGAAGTCCCCCTTGTGAATCTTTACCTGGGCCATGGAATCCATGGACATCCATGGCAAGGTTTCACGGTGTTGCCACTGAAGATCAGTTGGGCCGCTGCCATATCGCGGAACCCGTGCACTGCGGCCTTGGATGGCAAAATTTGCCATTCGCAGCCGGGGCAGGTGGTCAGCCATGGGAAATCCGGTTTCAGCTGCTGAATGCATATGGGCCAAGGTTTGGATTCCAAACCACCCTTGTGCACACCTGAGATCTTAGACCCACACCAGATGTTTTTCATTAAAGCTGCGTAAATATGTTACTCCCTAAATTCAACATAGAAGTCAGCAATGTACCAAAATCTTGGCTAAATCGTGAAGCATATGATTTGGCTGAAAATCTTCGTTAATGTTTGGTCATCATATTTCTATGAGTAATAAAACTATATGATCAAGAAATTGCTCAAGATCTTCTACGCAGGCACAGCCACACTTATGTCAAACATCACCTGTTTCCGTATATGGGTCAAAGCAAAGATGAAGGTGATTTTTGCCATAAGCAAATATATTTATGGTGAAACAATATAGGTAAACCAATGCCATTTGCACCATCTATTGTCATTAGCTTCATCTATTGATGTTGGTAAAACAATGCAAACTCCATAAACCCACCATCCCCAGATTTCACCATAGGTGGTATGTTTACCATTCCCAGTCATGGCTGGGTTATGACATGGTGTTTTAACCACAGGTTAAAAAGTCCTGGTTTCTAGTATTAAGCATCCATCTTTGGTTACCCCAACTTTTTGGTTCACTCATTCCCATACCAAAAACTTATCAACCAACATGATTTGGCCACGGCACGGCCCCAAGATTTGTTCTTGGAACACTCTCCAAACACATCCCAAATCATCCAATGTTCATGGGAAGAAATGACCAAAATACATCGAAATACCAATTGTTCATGGGAAAATGACCGAATACATGCAACATATCAACTTTAATGGGAACAAATCAGTGCCATTCTTAGATAGCCTGCAAAAAAAAATCTTAGCTGGTGAACGTAGATAATCCCATTGATACCATCCAAGACTCCAAGACTAGTCAGGATTAGTTTCTACCCATCTAAGATTGATCTAGAAATGACCAACACACCCATTTTTCATAGGGGAAAATGACCTTCGGCCGGTGAGTCGTCTCCGGCCTTGCACTTCACCTACCAGGTCCACCTGCGATCGAAGAAGGTATATGATTCTTCAATGTGCTTCACAAATAAACATAATTATGTACGTATGTACACATATATATATATATATATCTCTCATCATCATCATCATCATTATTACTATTATTATTTGTTTTACAATTCTTATTATTAATCAGTATTGTTAATTATGATTATTATGATTACTATTATGCATATGCACATTAAAATTAATATATATATATATACATACATTACAATTTGTGTATATATAAACATATATATGCCCTCCGGTCATCAAACGTGGCAGTGAGAAACCCCTTCGACGTGTGTGCGGTTTTTCATGGGACATTGAATGGTCCATAGATGGATGGGGCCCCCCAGTTATAAGTTGGTTTATAAACCATTATAATCCCCATTAACTATAGTTATATCTACCATAAACCATTGTTAAGCCACTTATAAACCAACTTAGCTATCTTGGGGGCCCCACCCTGTAGATGGATGATTGGACATTGCCATAATTGACTGCCAAATTGCATGTATATAACATACCCGACAATATCTGGTTGGTGGTTTGAACACCTCTGAAAAATATTAGTCACTTGGGATGATTATTCCCAATATATGGAAAAAATAAAAAATGTTCCAAACCACCAACCAGGTATGTATATATATATATATATGTACACAGTATACATCTTAGTTGTCTATGTTGTTGTAAACACATGTAATACTGCACACTGTGTCTGATATAGTGTTTATTGTCTATAACCCATCATGTCGTATGTTGATATTCAGAACATATGTCACTATGTGTATATATATATATTTGTTATAATATATTATAATGTATATATATAACTAAATAAATAAAATAATACATATATAGTGACGGACATGTACTTAGAACATCAATTTTCCAAAATTTCGAAACATCCTCTTAGAACATCAAAATTACCATACTTAGAACATCAGAAATGTTTCTAAGTACGCACTTAGAACATCAGAAAAACAGATACTTAGAACATCTCCATTGGTTTTTGCATACTTAGAACAGTAAAACACACATATACTTAGAACATGTCCTGTTACTTTGGTAAATCTGCATATATACACACAAATACCTTGGTGAACACCATACTTAGAACACTTTCTCCCCTCCCTGCTGCAGCATTCTATACCTTTTCTTCGGGAACAATATCCCAAGCAGTCTTCGCTGCAATGGGAAGGTCTCTAGTAATTTGTGGGTTTCCTACAGGGGGTAGTCAAAAAGCATAGGTTTCAATACTAAATACGGACAAATACTTCGACCATACATATATGTATGGTTCCCATTGGTTCCCCGCTGGGATGTTCTAAGTATAGCTTGGAAATGTTCTAAGTATAGGTTTTGGGTATGTTCTAACTACGTTTTTTGAAACCCATACTTAGAACATCCCCGCTGTGACGATTTTCAGATTTTTTTTTTCCAAATGATGTTCTAAGTAGTTGTCCGTCACTATACAGTATGTGTATATGTATATACAAATATATATATATATATATATTGTATATTATATATATTGTATATATATATATATATATTTTATATCAAATAATAAAACCTCTGTAAATAATGAAGGAGATGGTCTACCAGTCTACCATCCCGTAATTTGAGATGTTTACCTGCTTACATAGACTATTGTGTTTTTCAACGATTTGAAAAACGTGATATGCGACTATGGTTCACCGACAAGTTCAAAATGACACTGTCCATGTCCATGGCATGGGGAAAACTGGAGACCCTCTCTTAAACTTTCACATAACGAACTGGAAAATCAACCATTTTATAGCTGGGTAAATCCACTATTTCGATTAGGCCCATTTTCAATAGCTATGTTAAATTACCAGAGGGTATATCCATATTTATTCCCCTTATTAATCACTAGACTATAGATATATTAACCACTATTAATGGATATTTACCCATTGAAAATGGGTAAATGAGCTGTGTTCAAAAGGCTTAACGTTCTTCTGGAGGCGCTAAGCTTACGCCTGTTGGACCTGGCTCAAAGGGAGGTTTCCGGAGTCATCGGGCTACCCGGCCTGGTAAACGTTAACATAGCAATGGAAAGATCCACCATTTTCCATGGGAAAATCCACTATTTCTATGGCCATTTTCAATAGCTATGTAACAAATTACCAGAGGGTACCCCCAGTTCTCATCCATTCTGATTGATTTTCCATGAAATAAACCATCCAGCGTTTTTAAGGGGTACCCAAATGGGTATGTAAACCGCCCAAAAAATGGTTACGACGTAACAATCCCCCAGTCATCACCATAGGTGGTATGTTTACCATTCCCAGTCATGGCTGGTTTATGACATTGTTTTACAAACATCATTCCCATTAAAACCATTTAAAACCTGCAATTTCTAGGGGATTTCCATGGATGTTTCATTCTTTTCCCCCAATGCTGCTGAAGACGGGCGAGGCTGTTTCTTGCTGGGTTGTCGCTTGGGCTGAACGTTTCGCCCAGGGATCCACAGCAGTTGTGCCTCGGCAGAGGCAAGGTCGGAGTCGAGGTTGTACACCAAACGTTCTAGTTTTGTCAACCTGGATGCGACAGTTCCAAGCGCCTCGGAGATGTCCGCCAGTCGTTGACGGATCCACGATATGACCTCGGTTGTTTGGATGACGAAGTAGTGGATTTGGAAATCCAGGGTCTTCAAGAGCCGGTATATCCTTTGGCAGCTCTGACGTGCCGACCCTGCGCACTCCAGCCATGGTGGCAACTGGATGCTTGGGGCAATCTCCGTCCACAGGTCACGTAGTGAAATCACCATTAAGGGCCTGCTGAGACCCGCGAGGTGTCCCAGGTGTCCCAGTCCTAGGTGGCGCCCGGCGCCTCCGTCTTTTCGTTGGGCCTCCGCCGTTGACGGGAGAAGATGGCCAAGGGGCTGCACAACATCTTGGCCATGCCCTGACACGGTGACCAGGAGGGCGAATGGTGCTATGCTGGTATTATGCTGGTATAATGGTGGTAGAATGGTGGTATAATGGTGGTAGAATGGAATATTGATATGCCAAACATGGCAAATCCCCATGGCCTATGGCTGAAGGTTTGAATTAGAACAATCATCGAAGTGCTTTCCAGCAAGCCATGAGGGATTGATACTCGAGGGTCAAACCAACCATAAGAATGGGATACTCTGGTAACCATGGTTTGTTGGTAAGTTAATATTATACACATATTATGTTCCAAAACTGTGGTAGCCCAAATGGGTTAGTTCACTCCACATCCTTTACTTTTTTCGTTAGCGTAGATTCCTGGGATGTGCCTGGGATGTGCCTAGCATGGATCAAGTGGGATGATCATGGATTGAGATAAGGATTTTCTACATGATATAACTATAGTTAAATATCCACTGTATAATAGTGGTTAATATATCTATAGTCTAGTGATTAATAAGGGGAATAAATATGGATTACCATCTGGTTATTTAACATAGCCATGGAAAATCAACATTTTATAGCTAGGTATACCATCTATTTCTATGGGTCATGGCTTCCATGGCTATGTTAGTCATAACCAGAGGGTAAACATCAACAAAATGGGATTTGTTAATGGGAACAACGGAGATCATGGAGATATTTGGTATATGGTTGATGATAAATTTGCATATGAAATCATATGAATAATTTGTTGGGATGTAGTATGCGGAGATATGGGGATAGCATGGGATATAATGGGTTTATGTATATAACCAACAACTTTCTGAGTATATTATAAGGCAAATTCAGCAAAATAAATCAGGGGTTTGAATTATCTTGCCAATAAACTCCCTTTAGAAATTGCCTGGGAGCATCTATGATGTTGGCTATCTTTCCGCTCCATAGCATCGCTATATGCCTGATGGGGCCTGATGAATATCGCACAACTAAATGGTCTGAGGTACTTGTCGTAGGATACACCCATAATCATTGCATTGAACAGGCTGTATGAATGCGAAACAATGCCATGCAAAATTGGATCATCATTCTAAATTGGGGCGCAAGATACCACAGTACGGATGCATTCAGCACCAGGGTTCTTGACTCAGACACATATGTTCATGAATTGCAACTGGGATACTTATTAGGATAATTATAATCATATGATGATCTTCTATTCCAAGCAACAATCATGATCCAACTATAATTCACTGCCAACTATCCCAATTGGGAGAACATATCTATATATATATAGATAGATACATATGGAGATTTACTAAATGGGGGGTACCCCAAATCATCCAAGTCATGAACGACCATGACTTAGTATTGAAACCAGTTTTAGGGATCCATGTTGAGAAACCTCCATCACAGTAATTTTATAGTTGGTGATCCTCCCAGACCATTATACAACACTCATACACGCTAATTACACACATAGTATAGTCATAGCTATAACCATAGTAGGATACAGTACATATAGTCACTACTGTAGTGTATATTAGATAACCTTAATATTATAGACAGAATGGTCTGATTATATCTGGTTGGTGGTTTTGACCATCTTGAAAAAATGATGGAGTTCGTCAATGGGTTTCGGATGACATCCCCAGCATATGAAATGGAAAATAACATGTTCCAAACCACCAATCAGTGATTATTAAACATCATTAACCATTATTAACCATCATTAACCATCATTAACCATCGTTAACCATCATTAACCATCATTAACCATCATTAACCATCATTAACCATCATTAACCATCATTAACCATCAACCATCATTAAACCATCATTAACCATCATTAACCATCATTAACCATCATTAACCATCATTAACCATCATTAACCATCATTAACCATCATTAACCATCATTAACCATCATTAACCATCGTTACCCATTATTAACCATCATTAACCATCATTAACCATCGTTAACCATTATTAACCATCATTAACCATCATTAACCATCATTAACCATCGTTAACCATTATTAACCATCATTAACCATCATTAACCATCGTTAACCATCATTAACCATCATTAACCATCATTAACCATCATTAACCATCATTAACCATCATTAACCATCATTAACCATCGTTAACCATCATTAACCATCATTAACCATCGTTAACCAATGTTTGAAACCACCAACCAGATATAGTCCAAGTTGGGATAGCCCACTACCGAGGAAAAAACCAGGAAGCCGGGCCGAGGCCCGTTTGGTGCCGCCCACGTCAGGGCTAACCACCACCTGGGATCGAGGAAAGGAGTCTGGACTCAACGGGCTCAATGGGGATTTGAATGGATTGTAACTGGTTCTAATGATAGTTTTATAGTTATAAAAATAGTTATACTAAACTATGTCAATGGATTACAACTAAACTATGTCAATCAGTTACAATCCATTCAATTAATATTTACATAGTCTAGTTATAATAGTTTTTTTTAAAGCCCCATAGTTTATCATGTTCAATTATAAAAAGTCATTACCCTCCAGTAGATTAACATAGACCCTGCCAGTTGTCGGGGTTGGAAGATTTGTTTCCACTGAAAAAATGGTGATTTTCAGGGTCGAACTGTTAATTTACCAGAGGATAACTGGATTGTAAATGGGTTGTACGCTCTGGTAATTGAACAGTTTGCGAACTGGAAAATGGCACATAGAAATAGTTGATTTACCTATTAAAGATGGTGATTTTCCATAGCTATGTTAGTTTACCAGAGGGTAACTGGACTTATCCAACAGTTCATGACTGAATGGTGAATCAAACTGAGATTCGATATGGATCAAATCAAATTGGGCATTTGTCCGAAAAAAAAACATAGCTTGAAACGTCAAATGCAAGGATTTCAAGAACATTAAATTGGATTTCACCAACAAGACTGGTGATTCAACAAACAAGGATGGCGCATGCAATTGTTCCCTACAATTTAGGGACATGCGATGTCCTGTACAAGTGGTAAGAGTTTGATGGGTACTTCCAGTACAGAATTCAATTTGGCCATCCCCCATATGTAGAATCATGTTCCAATGAAAAATAATGATGTTCCATCAATGATCAATGACGTGTTCATTGTCGTCGCTGTCCTCATCATCACCATCATCATCATCATCATCACCACCATCACCATCATTGTCATAATCATCATCATCAACACCATCAACATCATCAACATCAACAACATCATCAACATCAACAGCAACATCATCCAATACTCACCATCCTACATTATCCTACATTATCATCATCACCATCATTGTCATCATCATCAATATCGCCATCATTGCAGTATTCTTATTAATCCAATGATTCTCCAATGCTCCAAAACACATCCCTGTGCTGCAGGCTACCTTTCGTCGTGATTTCTCAAACAATGGTTCTTCAACTAAAATAAATTCCATGTGATTCAACATGATTTAACCAATGTTTTCTTGAACAATTAGGTGACATCCCCTTTTTTCATGCAGGTCAACTCCGAACGTTCGGATCAAATCCAGCAAACTGTGTTTCTTGTGAACACCCCCAACAAAATTTGGCAGCACAACTGATGTTAAATTCACCAGAACTGATGTTAAATCACAATTTTCCAGCATTTTCCCATGGAAAAAATCCATCATTTTCCATGATTTTCTAGCATTTTCCCATATTTTCCCATGGAAAAAATCACCGTTGAACTCTCCGCCACGAGGTGTTCATCGCGGCTGGGTCCCCCCGGCGATGTCTTCGGCTTTCAGGCCTGCCGGTTTTCCGCTGGGGAGATCTGCACTGGGGAGACGTTCAACCAAACAAGTCGTGAGAAGTCGTGATTTATTGAAAATATATAGAACATATGATGATTTATGGGAAAATCTGGGAAATATATGGTGATATATGGATGTAAAGAAAATATGGTGATTTATGGATGTTTACCATACTGAAAATATATAGAACATATGGTGATTTATGGGAAAATCTGGGAAATATATGGTGATATATGGATGTTTACCCTCTGTTAAACTAACAAATAACTATTGAACATGGCCATAGAAATAGTTGATTTACCCAGCTACAAAATGGGTGGATTTTCAAAAAACATGTTAAATTTCTAGAGGGTAGATTTTGGAAGTTCATTTATACATTTGACAAGATGTTGTGGAAGTCTTGAGATGGGGTAGAACAGTAAAACATATACATAAATACCCACATCTAACATATTATGGTAGCAAAAAATCTCATACGACAGGGACATTTTATGAGATATCACTCTCTAACCAACAAAGTATAGACCCTTGGGTTGAATGAAGATGTTTTCTATTTTGTGGAGTTTTAACAATTGAAATTAACTTAGCAGCAAACACTGAACAACTGAAAATCTGAGTGGGCCATTTATTGTTTAAGTAGAATATATATATATATATATATATCCGGGTTGAAATTACCCGGGAGGACCTGCGCAACCGTTCTGTAGCTATGATTCTCTATGCGCCCACTTTCAAGCTACAAAACCTTCTTCACAGCCCAAAACCGTCCCCTACAAAATGCAATGGCTACTTCTGTTTTCATGTGGCAAAGAAAATGCATTTTGTAGCAGCCCCACTTTTGAGCTCTTCAGAGGCAGAAATGCATTTTGTAGTGGTGTTTTTTGGGGCTCAACATTCATAACCAGATGTGCACGCCCTCATTTTATAGCTCTCGGCCGTTGGTTGATGGAGTTTTTTCTCCAGATCAGCGGTTTTTTTTCATCTCATGTTTCAGACAGTGCTGACAAATAGGAAACGTCTGTACATTCTTCTGACATGTCTGACTCACATGAAAGCAACGGCTGGAGCGACAGATGTAGATCTCCTCAGGCAGTATCTTCTGGATCTTCTGAACATGCCATGGTCCTGGTAGGGCAGAACGTTTTTGGCCAAACCCGCATAGGCCACACTTGATCATGAGCATTGTCGCCAATGCACCCACCATCATTCCAAGAAGAAAGACGGCCGCCAGGA